TCAAGCCCATGACCATGCCACTCCCCGCACTTATAGGCTCCACACCACCCCGGCTGACCTCTTCGCAGACTTTCCCGTAAATCGGCCGAGTAGGCTATCATTCTCTAAGAGGACGACCTGCCTTGTTGAGCTTGTCTTTTGGCCACCGATACCGGCGATTAGTTGCCTATCGAGAAGTTTTGAGATCTGCAGAAAGGAATTCCTGATTACGTATTTCCCGAGTCAGTTAAAAGTGGCCTATTATCTCTGGTATCTCGCACTTTTTGCCTCGGTCTTATCATGCCCGTATCCGAGTGCCTGATCCGTACCGTACTGAACGACTACATACGGCTCCGATAAGGATAATCGGAGGCTGGAGTGATAGTCTTGGTCTATCGATATACCTTACAAAACAACAACTCTATCCAAACTTTGCAGCCATCGCCAGAGGACCATCTCGCCACTGGAAGGCGTTGTCAATTCAGCATGGCAAACAGCTTCATCGCCTATCTGCGAGGTGACCAGAATGCGCCTGGAGAGCGCAAGCTGGTGAGGAAGCTTGATTTTTTCATCCTGACTTTCTGCTGTCTCATGTACTTTCTCAAGTATGTGTTTGTGCTCTAAATCAAAACGAGACGTTTCTAACGTTGTGTAAAGTTACCTAGATCGCACCAATCTCAACAACGCATATGTTTCTGGCATGAGGGAAGAGCTAAGTTTCAAAGGCAACCAGCTCAACCAGATCAACACCGTTTTTACAGTAGGGTGGGGTTTAGATGATGCAGAATTTGGACCTTTTTGCTAACCCACGACTAAGATATACAATCGGCCAAGTGCCATGCAACATCGCGCTGTACTATATTAAACCACGTTACTTCTTCCCACTATGCATGGTATGCTCCATAGCTGTCTATATTACGACATCAACTAACAAGTATACAAGTTAGCATGGGGTGCTCTAACAATGGTCACGGCAGCAGCCCAAAAGCCCCAGGATATCATGGCTATCCGCTTCTTTCAAGCCCTGTTTGAATCTTCAACATTCGTAGGAACCCACTACATCCTTGGATCATGGTACACCGAGAAAGAGCTAGGAAAGCGATCTGGAATCTTCACAGCATCTGGTCTCGCAGGAACCATGATTGGCGGGTTCATCCAGACGGGAATTCACAGCAGTATGGATGGTCTACGAGGCATGAGCGGATGGCGATGGCTATTCAGTAAGTTTCACCAAAGAAAATCAAAAAGAACTCTAACCCTCCTCCGATATACGAAAATGGCAATCTAACTCGCAACCTCCCCACAGTAATTGACGGCATCATAACCCTCCCTGTCGCACTCTACGGCCTCTTCCTCTTCCCAGACACGCCCCGTAACACCCGCGCCCCTTACCTCAGCACCTCAGAAAAAGCTCTCGCCATCTCCCGCGTCCCCGAAGTCTCAGAGCGCACGCCCATCTCCTTCTCCTTTGTCAAACACTGCTTCAAAACTTGGTACTGGTACTTCTTCGTCATCCTCTGGATCCTAGCCGGCGAGACGGAATCCTTCAGCACAAACGCCCTGCTGCAACTGTACATGAAGTCACACCCGACCAACAAATACACCGTGACGCAGAATAATAATTATCCAACCGGCGTTCCAGCAGTGGGCATAGTATCGACGCTGTTCTGGGCTACGTTGACGGATTTCATGGGTGGGAAACGGTACTTGGGTACGTCCTTTCTTCCCCTCTTTCCCCCCCTTCTAACCAAAAAAAAATCCCCCCATCATATACGACACTTGTACTAATACATGATTGGTAAAGTCGGCTACTGGATCGCCCTAACTGGCGTTATCACCTCCTCCCTCATCCTCGCCTACCCACATAACACCACAATCCACTTCGCAATGTACTACTGGGCCGGCAGCGTGTACGCCTGCCAGGCCACCTTCTTCGCCTGGGCCAACGACGTGCTACGCTACGAAGAAGACAGCCTGCGTGCTGTCGTGATTGCGAGCATGAATATGGGGAGTAATGCGATTAATGCGTGGTGGAGCATTGTGTTTTACGGGGCGAGCTATGCGCCGTATTTTACGCGCGGAATGTGGGCCATGATTGCGGTTAGCATAGCCATGGGGGTGTGGACGGGGTTGCTGGTTTGGATGCAGGTTAGGACGGAGAAGAGGAGGGAGGCGGAGGGGGTGCATGGGGAGACGGTTGTTGCTGGGAAAGGGGTAGACGAAGGAGAGGAAGGAGAAAAGCGCGAGGATAAGGTGTAGAACAAAAAAAAGTTTCACTTTGTAGCTTTTTTTCTCTCTTCTTCTTATCTCTTCACAAGCCATAATCACAGAATGATATGTTGTATGTGAACATTTTTGCCTAGAATCACTCTTTAAGAGAAAGGAAGAAACGCCAAAGTGTATGCAAAACACCCCCTTTCCAAAAATTTAACTTGAATCCCTTTCTGGCCTGTCATTCCCCCCACATTACTACCATGTCGTTACATCTACGACACACCACCGAAGCGCTGCGTCGACCTACCCCCACGCATGCTATTCATGAAATCAGCAGAAGGATCGGAACCGAGCCCATTCCAGCCATTAGCACCCACACGCTGCGTCTCACGCTGGGCCTTTGCAATCTTCTCCTGGAGTTGCGAGGCACCAGAGTCGATAAGCTGGAGCTGTGAGAGCTGCGTGTTGAGGACGCGGACGACCTTTGTTAGGGGGTCGTCTGGTTTGCCAGTCTTGCTGAGGGTCTGGGAAGTGCTGTTGATTTCCTCAATCATTTCTGTGAGATCTTTGTTGAGTTCGTTGAGGCGGTCTTGGAGTTTTTCTGCGAGTTTGTAACTGATTTGTTTGTTAGTTTTGTGTGTGCTCGTATGAAGATACATGCGAAAGGATATACTTACGTTCTCTCACGCTCCTGGTCTGGGCCTCGCAGACTCTCGTTCTTGCCACTGACACCATGCATCTTCATGAGATTGTCAATTTCCTTCTCATAGCGGTCAAGGTAAGAGTCCAGTTCTTGCTGGTTCTCTTCCATCATAGTCAGCTGTCTCTCAACTTCGGCGGCATCGCGCTCTGCCTGGAAAGTCTTCGAGTAGAGTTGTCGGACCTTGTCAGAGTTCTCGACCAATGCTCTGTCCCATGAGGCCACCTGCTCGGCCTGAGCCTGGAACTCCTTCTGATATTTTGATAGGTCTGCTGCCCAACGCGTGATGATTTCATCCATGGACTTATTCTTCAGCCGTGATTGCGCCGATGGCGCGGGTCCCGCGGTTGAGGCTGCAAGCCCACTCTGGGCCGCATTGCCGCCCGCAGTCCCACTAGCAGCACCCAAAGTAGAAGCCGGCTGTGATTCGGCGTTGGGCTTCGATGCTGGCGCCTCACTACCGGAGGGCTTACTGAATAGACTTGGGGTGGTGGTTGAGGTAGTTGCAGCCCCAGAAGCTGCGGGCGCGGCAGAACTTCCGCCGCCCAAGCTCGGGAACAGCGATGTTCCAGATGATGCGGTTGAGGCGGGCGCTGTGGTTGTGGCGGTAGTAGCTGCACCAGTAGTTGCCGGTGTGCTAGTAGCGGCAGCAGGTTTGCCGAAACCGAAACCACTTCCAGTAGAAGCTGGCGTCGAGGTTCCCGCAGTTGAGAATAGGCTGGTTGCCGTACCCGCAGAAGCTGCTGTGCTACTGGTGTTTCCACCTAAGCTCAAGGTTGGTGTGCCGCTGGATGCAGGCTGCGAGGAAGCGGGCTGTGCGGATGATGTAGCGCCAAGAGTGAATCCCGACGGTTTTGCTGGCGCGGCAGCAGGTGTCGTGCTTCCAAGACTGAAGAGGCTACCCGCAGGTTTGGGCGTCTTCGCATCTTGTCCACTAGACGTTGATGTTTGATTTCCTCCTCCAAACAGGTTAGATGTGGGTGCAGCAGCAGGGGTAGCGCTCTTGTTTGCGTCGCTGGATGCTGCTGTGTTTCCTCCTAAGCTGAACAGACTAGGGGTAGAAGAAGAGGTTGTGGCAGGCTTTGCGCCGGCGAACAAAGACGACCCGGCTCCAGTAGTCTGGCTACTCTGCTGACCGAACAAAGAAGAGCCAGATTGGGCTCCACCGCTAGATTGGGCAGGCTGACTGAACAGGCTACCACCTGGAGGAGCGCCGGCTGGAGTAGTGGAGGGGAAAAGAGATGTCTTGTTTGTTGCAGGTGTGGCTGATGGTGCTGAGCCTGAAGCTTGTGTTAGCAGACGCATAGAGCCGACTGGGACGTGGCATGGATACTCACTAGCAGCTGTACCGAATCCAAACGAGGGAGTAGAAGAGGAGGCAGCACCACCAGAGGAAGTTCCGCCGCCGCCAAACAATCCTCCGGCTGGCTTAGACACATCGCCCTCCTTCTTTCCAAGTCCTCCAAAGCCTCCGCTACCAAAAGCCGATGGTGTTGACGACGCGCCAGCCTGTCCTCCGCCAAAAAGACCACTGGGTTTGCCTGCAGGTGTGCTTGATGCTGCAGCAGCACCACCACCACCACCACCACCACCAAAAATTCCTGACCCAGTTGTGTTGCTAGTAGCACCGCCGAATAGACCACCGCTGCTGGGTGCGCTGGACGTGTTGTTGGTGCTGCTGGCAGTGCCGAAGAGAGACGGTGTTGTGCCGCCAGTTGAGGGTGTAGCGCCAAACAGAGACTTTCCAGGCGTGGTGCTGCTGCCACTGCCGCTGTTCTGTTGGCCGAATGAAAAGCTCATGTTGGCGATTGTATAAGGTCGGCGCTGGTGGATAGGTGTTTGTTGAAGGAGTTGTTGTTGTTGAGGTCGGAGATGCTATCGAACGCGCAACTGGGCTAGGTGTGTCGCGACCGTAGAAGTAATCGCTGGACCACTGTTAATTGGCAAGTTGAAGTGGATGCGCGCAGATGTACACGACCTTCTCGCGCGTCAATGTCGCATCCAAAAGTTGGGCAAACAGATGCATGGGTCGAGCTTAGCTCCGGTGAATTGTTGTTCCTACCTGGCCAGTGGCCGGGATTCCAGACCGCCGCTCCCCGCTAATCTCAGGTGCCTGAGACTCCACGACGACGAGGCAAGGAGGCGCAGTCTTTGGTCGTTCGTCTCCGTGACGCACTTCTCTTGTTATCTAAGCCCAATTCCACCAAACATCAATCCCAATCTACTTCCCACAACCTCCTGTTGTACACGTATAGATTAAACGAGCATCCAGCGGCTCTCGACATGTCGGACGAGCTAGCACCACCCCGCAAGAGTGTAGAGCTGGAGGACCCAGGTGCGAAGGAGCTCGGTATGCTACATCATGTGCCAATCTGAGCGGCTCTTGTCTAACTATATATAGCCGAGTCAAGCGACGAGCACTTCTCCGATGCGTCTGAAGGCCAGGCTAGACGGTTTACGTTGTCGTCACCAATCCCAATAACGCGAGTGGAGCGGGTCGATGATACGCCAGCACATGGCGAAGTGCCGGGAACAGAGGCATACAACAAACGCACCCAAGATGCCGTGCCTGACGAGGTCGAGATTGTGCCAGAAGGCATGCGAAGCCGCAGTGCGTCACGCGTTAGCGTCAGCGACCGGCCCATTACGCCAGGAGGAACGCCCATCCCAAAGACTGTGGTTGAGAAGATTGATCCCGACGAGCCCAGCTACGGTGATGTGCCTGGAACGGAAGCACACCAGCAGCGTCTGGCGGATGCGGCGCCTGATGTAGTCATCAAGGCACCGCAGGAGACGCAGCACAGCAACTCAGGTACGTAGGGCATTTCCTTGGTGCCTCCTGCGTACCATTGACGACGGAAGAAGGGTCACCAACCTCGCATGACAGATCTACAATAAATCCGGGTGACGACGCACCCGAAGCAGCACCCAAAGCCAACGGTGTGGTTGAACAACAAGAGGGCAACGACGACGACGACGACTTTGGTGATGACACAGCAGACGTGGCAGCTGGTGCTGACGATGATGACGATGGGTTTGGGGACTTTGACGAGTTTGAAGAGGGTGGGGAGGGTGACGACGATTTTGGAGACTTTGACGATGGGTTTCAGCAAGGCGAGCAAGAGGCAGAGACATCATTTGATAAAGTGCCAGAACAAGCTCCTGTACCTGCCCCTTTGCCAGGTCCTGTAAGTTGCAGCAATTCTAGCCCACTGATAGTATTGCTTGGACCGTTGGTTACTGTGACACTCTGACTAACCTTTTGCCCGCACAGCCCGTCTTGGACTTTGAGCATCTCACATCACCTGAAGACATTACTAGCGCAACACGGCCTTACCTGGAGGATATGTATCCTCTGCCAAGAGACATACCCAGCATATCTACCAATCCGGAGGAGACACGGTCCATTTTCTTGTCGGAGCGCAGCCACTCGCTGTGGAGCCAGCTGGTTGCACCGCCACCGCTGCAGCCACCAGACTGGGTACGGTCACGGATACGACGACTGTTTCTCGTCTCACTGGGCGTGCCCGTAGACCTGGATGAAATCCTGCCGGCGTCGAAGCAAAAGAAGCTTATCCTGCCGTCGATCCACATACCTGGAGAGCGTTCGCCCCGCCCTTCGTCTGACGGGCGCAGCAACGGCGGACCACTGGGACGCATCAGACGCGAGAATGAGTCGTCGACATCAGTCGATTCGTCAAGCTCAAAAGTCGACCGCAAGCGAAAAGGGCCCCCACCACCTCCGGAACTGGACATTAGCAGTACAACGCAGCTGTGTGCGACGACAGACGCAGCACTCGAGGGCCTGACGGACGACGAGCTGCGGATGCACATTGATCACCTCAAGGCGCTACAGGAACGGGCAAAGGAGGTGTTTGAGTACTGGCAGAAGCGGATGGAGAGCGCGCTAGGAGACAAGGATGCATTTGAGCAGGTGATTGAGAGTTTGGTGGCCCACGCCAAAAAGCTGCGGTAGTCTTGTCTAAGCAAGTGCAAGTAAGTAATGTAAGTGCATAGTTTGGGTGTGACTGCGGGCTTGTCTCTGCGTGTGATTGTGATGGACGTGTCTGTTCGTGTTGGCGTTTTGGTTTGGTGGTGACCCCGCATTGTGGGATAGCGCGGGTTGGCCAAAGCTGGCTGGCACGCGGCAGGGATAGTCTGGAATTTGGTTCTTCTCTTGGCTGCCTACGGAATTGCTTTTTTTCTTCGAGGCAATGAAGCTGAAATCAAGCGGAGGGGGCTGGAAGAGACTGATGGCAACGAAACATGCAGGGTGCCGTGGGTCCAGGTGCAGTGCGGCTGTAGAGATATTCTGTGGACACTGCATGTGGGTGTGCAGGACAGGCTGGTGAATAAGCTTCTGCGAGGTGACCAATCGGCATGGCAGGAGCAGTTTATGAAGGCAGTGGCAGTGACAGCGCTCAGACGGGAGGTTGTAAGTAGTATGTAAGTATGCGGAGTCGATCCATTACGATCTACGCAGGCCAATCGCGGCAGTGAAGACGCCGGGAGTACATGGGCGGTCTTGACCGGGAAGGGCCAAAGTTTGCAGGCATGATTAGGCGAGATGCGGTGTGGCCACGAGGGTCGTGGAGAGAAGATGGCGTTGTCGAGTAAGTAAGTAGAGCAGGAGCACAATGGGCAGCGTGTGCCGGGAAGTAAGTAAGCGGGCACAGAATGCGCTTAGGCAGCGCTACTATAGGCTCCGGGGAGACCCTGAAGACCACCATGGCAGCCTCTCCCAACGCGGTAGTCTGGTGTCCGAGCACCCCCCACCCGTCGACCCATTGAGCAACATAGCCTCGTCTTTCCCCGTCCGTCAGCAGCCCCATGGATGCTACCATGACAGATTGAGATGCGAGCAAAGCACGACAAGGAGATTGCCGCGGTGGTGGCAACGGGCGGCTGGTGGTGATGGGCAGAGGAGCGGAATGGGATAAGCAAAGGTGAAACAAAGCCTCACGGCCGCTTGAGCGGTGGAAGAGGGAAAAAGGGGACGATCAAACAGGAGAGGGCGTGTGGGCAAAGTCGCGCACCGTTAGGTTAGTGGCGCATGCGGACAGAGTTCACCGTCGACGTTGAGGTTTGGTGCCCGCGAGGCCAGCGAGCCAGTGGCAGATGTGGATAGGGGTACTTAGTTTGCCACAGGGCAGTGGGTGCAGTGGGTGCAGCGTGGCGCCTCGGCCGGACTGCCCTGCACACGCTCGTACGTTTGCGTTGCTGCTAGCAGCAGAGGCGGTCACGCTTTGCCATGGGTGGCCGCCCCAGGCGATGCAGGCCGATTCCATGCGTGTGGATGGTCTGCTTGTCCGTATGCACCTCTATACATAGACAGAGTTTGCATGTTTACACAACGGATGCTCGTTCACATTACAGGGCAGTGTAGGGGTCCGGCCAAGAGAGAGGGCGAAAAGCGCGGCAGCGCAGCCATGACGTCGCCGCCGCACATGGCGGACACAACAGGCCTGCACCGCTGTCTTGCAAGCCCCCTTCTCTCATTTCGCCGTCACGAGGGCGTCGCTGGAGGAGGCTAGAGCCGTTGTCGTATCCCAACCAAAAGTACGCAGGCGTCCGTCCTTGCAATAGGCGTTGTCGTCCCGTAGCGGCGGCGGGCAGGCAGGCGAGCAGACGGACCAGCGGCCAGGCTGGCAGCATGTGCGACCCGACTTGACTCGACTCGACTCGATGCGATGCGATTCGACTCGCTCGTCGCGTCCGGCGTCCGCCGAGGTGGCCGTGGTGGAAGACTGGGGCGTTGCAGGCGTGGCATTTGGGTGCGGCGCCATGGATTGGCGTGGACCGACAGGCCTGCTAGCCGACAACTGACAGGCGCAAATGCCATGGCAGCCATGGCAGCCCTCTCTTCGCCCTCCAACACGGCAACTCCTGGGCCGATCCCTTTGTGAGGCAGCGTACCACAGTTTAGCCTCCAATTCACCTCTTCTGCATCTTCTGCCCTCAGCCTGCCAGCCTGCCTCCGAGCCCATTCCTCTTGACCGTGGGCGCCCGTGGCTTGTGCGTGCGCCTACTGTACATTACACTACACGCCTGTACCGGCTTGCAACACGCCCTGGCTTTTCATTTGCCCATCCCATCGCCAGCACCCTACCCACGACACGCTTATCCTCTTTCCGCGCCCGCCTGTTCTCCCGGCGGGGCCTCCCTGCCTTTGCGCCTCTTCGACACCATCCACTCGACCTCATCTCGCCCGCCTCCCTCTGCGCTGCCTTTCCGTCTCTAATCATTATCCTGTCCCGCCCCAGACGTCTGCTTGACCATCTGCCCATCCCTCTCTAATTCCCCAACCACTGACGTCTTCGCCTTCCCATCTCGCTCTTGCCGCCTCCAATGCGCACATAGCATCGCTCGAGATCCCTCCTCACCCCTCTCACTCCAGCCGCCGCTGCCGCTGCCCACCGCCGCTGCCGCCATGGCTGCAGAGACATACTCGGGCGTCGCAGCCATCATCCGCAACCTCGCCCGCCAACACGATCCCGCCAGAGACCCCAGCTTCAGCGCCCAAGTCTCTGCAAATGGCGCCAAAACCGCCGCAAATGCAATCGCCCTGCCTGGCCCTGAGAGCGAAGAAAAGACACAATTAGAACAAGAGCTGTCGGCCCTGTGCAGCCGCATAGACTTTCTCGAGCACAAGTGCAGCCATGCCGCTGCCAAATCAGGCCAATTTCCTCTGACGCCCGCACAAGAGTCCCCCGATGATGGCGTCCTATACACTCCTGCTGGTGCCATTCGCAACAGCAGTGCCCCACCTGGCCAGGCTCGTCGGGGTTCAAACAAGGAGCGTGCCATCTGGGTATCCAACTGGCTGGCTGCAAAGGAAACAAATGGTGGCCCCGAGGAGCCTGCCGCTGCCCTCACTGAAGAACAACTTAATTATCTACGCGTACACTTGAACCAACAGGCCGACCAGATCAGGAACCAGCGCGAACACATTGGTACGAGCACATTCATGCATATATACATATATACATATACATATATATATATGTTCCTTGCATGCTTCATCTTCATTTGAGCCCCATACTGACAGTACATAGACAACTTGAGCCGGGAAGTGAACAAGCAACTGACGACACAGAGCATGGTGTTCGAACATGGCATCGAGGATATTGGCGCACTGAAACGAGAACTCGGCAAGCACCAGCAAGGTAGGCTTCAACCCCACCACACGTCAGTAACTGCGACTAACGTCATCCAGCCAATCTAGCTTTCCAGAAAGCACTACGGGAGATTGGCGCGATTGTCACGGCTGTTGCTATGGGAGATCTGAGCAAAAAGGTTCTCATCCATGCAAAGGAAATGGACCCTGAAATCACTCTCTTCAAGCGCACAATCAATACCATGGTGGACCAGCTGCAAGAATTTGCCAGTCAGGTCACGTTTCTCGCTCGAGAGGTCGGTACTGAAGGCAGATTGGGCGGTCAGGCAAACTTACCAGGAGTTGCTGGTATTTGGGCTGAGCTGACGGATAGTGGTATGTCTTGATTCGTGTCCCGCTATCGGGCCGATACTAACATGTCGCATAGTCAACATGATGGCCAATAATCTCACCGAGCAGGTGCGAGAGATCGCCGTAGTGACGACTGCTGTCGCTCATGGCGATCTCAGCCGCAAAATTGAGCGACCGGCCCGAGGAGAGATCCTGCAATTACAACAGACCATCAATACCATGGTGGATCAACTACAGTCATTTGCAACTGAAGTCACAAAGGTCGCTAGGGACGTCGGTACCGAGGGCAAGCTCGGTGGACAGGCTGAGATTGCCGGAGTCAAGGGCATGTGGAATGAGCTCACTGTAAACGTCAACGCCATGGCCCAAAACCTCACTACCCAGGTGCGAGACATTGCTCAGGTCACCACGGCTGTCGCTCAAGGCAACCTTACCCGCAAGGTCGAGGCCCAGTGCAAGGGTGAAATTCTGGAACTCAAGAATACAATCAACCGCATGGTGGACCAACTGCAGCAATTTGCACACGAAGTCACCAAGATTGCAAGAGAGGTCGGATCCGAGGGTCGCCTCGGTGGTCAGGCTACTGTGCATGGGGTTGAGGGTACCTGGAAAGACCTCACTGAGAATGTGAACGGTATGGCGATGAATCTAACAACCCAAGTGCGAGAAATCGCAGAGGTTACGACAGCTGTCGCTCGAGGAGATCTTAGCAGAAAGGTCAAGGCCGAGGTACAGGGAGAGATTCTTTCTCTGAAGATCACCATCAACACCATGGTGGACCGCCTGAATACTTTTGCGCAAGAAGTCAGCAAGGTCGCCCGTGAGGTCGGAACTGACGGAATCCTGGGTGGCCAAGCCCAAGTCGACAACGTCGAAGGCAAATGGAAGGACCTGACAAACAATGTCAACACCATGGCCCAGAATCTCACATTACAAGTGCGTAGTATCTCCGAAGTCACACAAGCAATTGCCAAGGGAGATATGAGTCGAAGAGTACACGTTGACGCTGAGGGTGAAATACGGTTACTCAAAGACACCGTCAACGACATGGTTATGAGACTCGACGAATGGTCTCTTGCTGTGAAGCGCGTAGCCCGCGATGTGGGTGTAGACGGCAAGATGGGTGGTCAAGCCGATGTGCGAGACATTGACGGACGCTGGAAGGAGATCACCACGGATGTCAACACCATGGCTCAAAATCTTACGTCGCAGGTGCGCGCTTTTGGCGACATCACCAACGCCGCAATGGAGGGCAAATTCACTCAAATCACAGTCGAAGCTTCTGGTGAAATGGATGAGCTGAAGAGAAAGATCAACCAGATGGTGTCCAGTTTGCGAGAGAGTATCCAGAGGAACACGGCTGCTAGGGAAGCCGCCGAATTGGCCAACAAGACCAAGTCAGAATTCTTGGCTAACATGTCGCACGAGATCCGAACGCCCATGAACGGTATCATTGGTATGACGCAGCTTACGCTAGACACCGACCTTACCCACGCGCAACGAGAAATGTTGACTATCGTACACAACCTCGCTGGTCAGTTACTCACCATCATTGATGACATACTGGATATTTCGAAGATTGAAGCCAACCGAATGGTTATGGAAGAGATTCCGTTTTCCATGCGCGGAACCATATTCAACGCTCTCAAGTCTTTGGCGTCGAGGGCGAACGAGCGGAAGTTGAACCTCGCGTATGATGTTTCGTACACTGTACCCGACTATGTTGTGGGTGATTCATTCAGGTTAAGGCAGATTATTCTCAACCTTGTCGGTAACGCCATCAAGTTTACTGAGCACGGAGAGGTCAAGGTCGCTATATCGATGGCGCAGGAGCAAGACTGTGGGCCGGACCACTATGTATTCCAGTTTGCGGTCTCTGACACTGGTATTGGAATTCGTGGCGACAAGCTCAACCTCATCTTCGACACGTTCCAGCAAGCAGATGGCTCAACCACAAGGAAGTTTGGTGGTACTGGTCTTGGACTGTCCATCTCGAAGCGTCTCGTTACTCTCATGGGTGGTCGCATGTGGGTCGAGTCAGATTTTGGCAAGGGAAGTGTGTTCTACTTCACATGCAGGGTCCGTCTCGGCAAGCCAGAGATTACCGCTATCCAGCCCCAGCTTGTCGCATACAAGCAGCACACGGTGCTGTTTGTCGACCAAGGCAACACTGGTTTCTCGGATCAGATCATTGAGCACTTGAAGGCCCTGGATCTCGTACCCATGGTTGTCAACTCGGTTGAAGAGGTGCCCGAGACTACAAAGAGAGCCGACATGCCTTACGATTGCGTTATTGTGGACAATGACAAGACGGCACGAGAGCTCAGGATTGCCGAGCGCTTCAAGTACATTCCTCTTGTCATGCTGACGCCACACGTCTGCATCAGCCTCCGATCTGCATTGGAAAATGGCATCTCGAGCTACATGACGACACCTTGCCTGCCAATCGATTTGGGCAACGCACTCATTCCAGCACTGGATGGCCGTGCCGCGCCTCTTGTTTCTGACCATTCCAAGTCATTCCAGATTCTGTTGGCCGAAGACAATGCTGTCAATCAGAAGCTTGCTGTCCGAATTTTGGAGAAGTACCACCACAGGGTCACTGTGGCCAACAACGGTCTCGAGGCCTTTGAGCACATCCAGAAGAAGCGCTACGACTGCGTACTCATGGATGTGCAAATGCCGGTTATGGTAAGCTGAATTACAACGGTTGATGAATCACACCTAACATGATGCAGGGTGGTTTTGAGGCCACGGCTAAGATTCGTGAGTGGGAACGCGAGAACGGTATCCCGTCTACACCAGTCATTGCACTCACGGCGCACGCAATGGTTGGCGATCGCGAGAAATGCCTTGCAGCGCAGATGGATGTAAGTTGATGCAACCCCTAAATTGATTCTCGATACTAACTCGAGCAACAGGACTATCTTTCCAAACCCCTTCGTCAAAATCAACTTATCCAGACCATTCTCCGTTGTGCTACTGTCGGAAGCACAATCTACGATCACACAAGTGAGCCACGGTATACGGCGTCATCACACATCCCCAACCTTGACCTGCCAGGAAACAGCAAAGACAAGGCAACCACGGGAGCGGCGTCGGCGTCGACAACAAGCCCCAAGAAGCGACCGCAACTCGAAACGCGAGGTTTCACGGACCGTGGCGGAGGTGCTGACAGCCCCAACCTGTTGGCGGTGGATCAGACGGATAATGGCAGTGTCGAGAGAGTACGTTCCTTGTCCGCTAGTTTGTGAGTAATTGACCCTAATATATGTGCGTTGTAGCTTTTGCTGCGGAGTCACAGTAGCTGAGTTTGTGTGACATAAAGGAAGAGGAGAAGGCTTGATTAGTTACGTACTCGAGCTCTCTTAAGGCTGAATCCTGCCAAACGATAACTGCATCAACAACACCTGCCTCGACGATTATCGACGATGAACGATGAACGACATTCTCGACGCCAGTAGCGCGTTGTAGCGATGCCAATCGGGAATAAGCCGCTTATCGAAGTAATGATGTTGA